ACTCCCCTTTCCTTGTCAACATCTACCCTTTCCTAAGCCTCTACCAAAACCCGGATTTCCCCATCGAGTTTGCCTTCTTTGACGGTGGGGCCACGCCAGTCGAGGACGATGGAATCACCTACACAAACATGCTCGACGCCAACTTGGACACGCTCGTGTGGGCGCTCAAGAAGGCTGGGGCCCCCAAGGTGAGGATCACCATAGGAGAGATAGGGTGGCCCACGGACGGGCACACCCAAGCGAATGTGAAGATGGCAAAGAGATTCTACCAAGGGTTTCTTAAGAAGATGGCGGAAAAGAAGGGGAGCCCGTTGTATAAGGACGAGCTCGAGTATTATTTGTTCAGCCTGACGGACGAGAACCAGAAGAGCATAGCACCCGGGGATTTCGAGCGGCATTGGGGGATATATAGGTACGACGGGCAGCCCAAATACCCGATCGACTTCACTGGGAAGGGGAATGACAGAATGCCGGTCCCAGCCAAGTAAGCATCTGCCGAAAATGTTTTTTTTTTAATCATTTTTTGTACCCAACGTTGAGTTTTTTTAATTTTGGTTACTTAGTTTGTTATACAATAATAGCTCCAAATTGTTAACAAAAATGAATATTGAATCTTTGAATTTGTTTTCTCGCTCTCAAGAGGAGAAAAAAACATTTTTCTCCAATTTTAGGTGAAGATTTGCTAAAATACAACTTACAATAACTTAACTTATTTTCTTGGGGGAGATCAACTCTGCATATCTTACCTTGAGTACACTTACTTGTCATATTTCTTTACAAATCTTGAATCCACCACTAAACAGGAACGTGCCGTACATGGAGCAAAAGTGGTGCGTTTTGAACGGCGACATCAAGAATTTGGACAAAATGCCGGCTAACATGAACTTTGCGTGCTCTAACGGCGACTGCACGGCTTTAGGGCCCGGATGCTCGTGCAACGGCTTGGACAAGCAACATCGGATCTCATACGCGTTCAACAACTATTTCCAGATAAACAATCAAGACGTGCGCGCGTGCAATTTTGAAGGCCTAGCCAAGATCTCTTCGCAAAACGTATCAACCGGGCAATGCTTTTTCCCGATCGCATTACAAGATAGCGGCGGATGGAAACTCGGCATGCATGCGTGGGCCGGAGTCTTATCGGGTGTTTTGGCCCTTTTCGTCTTGTTGTTTTAATTTTTCTTTTCGATTTTACATATACGTGTGGGAAGAAAAGATAAAAAAAAAATAAATGAGATGTTCTTAGACGCGATGAATTGTGAGGATTAAATGCATGCACGAATATGTATACCTTAATTCGTCATTTGATGATGAGATATTTGACTAGCTAAGTTTGCTAATAATTAAACATGATCATATGACAATGCGTATGTGCGCAGAAGATATAATTAACGTGTTGATTTGCGTTGTATAAGAGCAACTCCAGCGCATCGCCAAATGTGGTGATTTGCGTTGGAGTGAATTTGCACGGGAGTGGAGATAAAATCTCCTCCGACCCATCGCTATGTTTTTGCGCTATATCTGATATGTGAACAGTATTGCGCCAATACTGGCGCAACACTGTAACATATCTCTACATTTTTTTTTTTTCTTTTTGTAATTGAATTCTTCAATTTTGGTAAATC